TATTATCTGCATGAACAATCCAACAGATTGGCTACGTTCAGACTGCAGGACTTAATGCTCCATTCAGATTTTTTTGTGAAATCCGATTTTTTTGCGAGTTCGTTCACATTTCCAATTAAATATGACTTGTATGTGATCTGCTGTGAACTTCATACGACCCAAAAGTGTCCCGCATGCACAGAAGAGGACAATGACGTCACACACCTGCATGCTCAGTGTTTACAGAAGTAAACATGGATGGTAATGGTGGAGTGTAACCACCACTCCCCCACCAGAAGTGAGACCACTAACTAAACTGGCATCAGCAGCCAAATACTGCCTGTGTGTTCTGGACACTACCACCCTGTCGGAGCGCTCCCCCGGGGTGGAAGTGGCCGGAACGTGCACAAGCGCACCGGTCAATTAGTAGTGAAATCCAGCGATGTGTAGTGTTCTAACAACACACTAGTTATTATAACAACTATAAACAATAAATATTAACAACAAATGAGCCTTCCAGCATCGAGCCCTCCTTGTATCTCGACCTCCGTCTTGACTATCCGACATAAAAGAAGGTTTTACGTTTAGTGTCGGATTATCGAGTCACGACTGTATTTAGCCTTCATGAAACACTTTATGGTCCAGTCTGGATTGGATTGCAGATGACTTGACCCAGTTTCAAATTTGCACAAGACAAATGATGCGGTCCAGTAAATGCTGCTTCTAACCAGCGAAACTGCTCCTCTGGAATGCCCCTGTTTCAGTTTACTACTTCCAGTAAGCACTCATTTAGTCGTGATGTTGCAGAAATGGAAGGAAAGCCTGGTGGGAACCAGTGCACTGTGGGACTCTTCTCTGCTTTCTGATGCTGCCACCAGATGGAGCCAACGTCACAAATCTTAAATGATTGTCATTTTGCTGTACATACACAGTCATACAGGCAAGATGAGAGAGCATTTCTTCAGGATCCAATAACTTAAAGTAATTTAAATAAACTTCTTCCTTTAACGCTCTGGTAACGTTTGGCTGATGGCAGCAGTTCAGTTTATGGAGAGGGTGTGAGGAGTCCCTGATAATGTTCAGTGTCCTGCTCCTGCAGTGGCTCTGGGAAAGTTCTTGGACAGAGGTGAGAGAAACTCCGATGACCCTCTCAGCTCCTCTTACTATCCTCTGCAGGGCTTTTCTGTCTGACATGTTGCAGCTGGATGTTGAGATGCAGTATGTCAGAACACTCTATAAATGCTGCCCAGGCCCAGAATACACACTGAAATACAGGAACTTCTTTTGAAACAGTCACGTAAAAGTGCAATTTTCAATCAATTGTAGCACCGTTTTAACATTTCTACATGTTTTTTGTTATGCAAATCATCAAAACTATGTATACTGAGGATGTGGACATTAAAGCTGGAGTTCAAAGATGATAAAAAAAAAAAAAATGCACGTTTATTTTAAGCACGCTCGAGATTCATATTCTATAAATGTTGGACTACAGCCCAGTTTCCAGCACCAACGGCAGCAGTGAGCCGGACAAAGCCACTGTGGTTGATCTCTGTCTGCCAATAAAAGGCAGCTTATCAGGTTTGATATGAACAGGTATCACTTAATTATCGAGTGGCGACGGTTTTCCCCAGCTCAGGAAACTTTCCAGGGCCAAACCCTTAAAGATGCACAATAGATTCAGTGTTTGATTATAGGCTTCGGTGCACTTAAGATTACAAACTGCTCAGCCGACGTGAGTCAGGATTTCAGCAGAAGTAGGTTAAAGTTTTGATTTCTCATCAGGAGGAAGTTTCTAATAAATCAGGAGAGGGGATGTACATGATATTGCAATAAGACTTTGAGTCTATTTTAAATGGGTTTTTGCCTCATTTATTAACCAGAAAAGTGGCTCAAAGAACTCAAAATTCACCTGCCGCTGTCCACGTTAGTTAACTTTTCATTCATGCATCTGCAGCGTTTTGATGATTTGCATGACAGGACACATCTAGAACGAGTGTCAGAGAAGTGAACCAGACGCTGCTGACAAACAAATGACTTCAAAGCCCTCTGGTGTGAAGCCACAGTTTCGGTGTGACTGGCTGAGGTTGAGGTGGTTTGTGGTTTGTCTGCGGCTGTGATTTATTCACCGAGTCCTCAGATAAGCTCTGCTGTCCTCTAGCGCCTCTTGTTGGGTACTACAGTGTTTTGAAGTCACATTTTCAACATGTTTCCTGGTGCAGGGCTCGTTATAAACACAAGACTGCACTGCACCCTCGCTGGAGATTGTGGAATCGACCCAGATTATGGAGTTTACACTCAGTATTTTTGTCTAAAATGCACAGAAATCACACTTTTAGTGTAATTCCACAGTTTATTTGAAGCTGATGTGAGGTTTCATCAGTCTGGTGAGTCAAACCACCCTTCATGTGTCTGATTCAGAAAACTGGAGTCTCATTTGACCTCATATGACCTTCAGATAAACATCAGGCTGTGTTTTTTTGGAGAGAATCTCTTAATGGGCAGTAAAAACAGAGCAATATGGTCACCAAATCATTGTTTCAAGACTGACTTGAGGACATTATGAGCAATCTGTTAAGGTTTTAATTCATTATGTGCCAAGTGGAAGGTACCTCAGGCCGTAAGCAGAATCTAGACTATCAAACGTAGTGAAAATGGTTTTAGTAAACATCAAAAAGTGATTGCAAATAAATAAAGGATGCTTCACAAACTGTTATTTAAATGACCTCCTTCTAAATATTTCCTTTAAACTTTAACTTTATTAATTATTAACTGCTATTAGACTATTTTTTAATCTTGTTTTGCCAGTTTTAGGGTCTCAATCTTCGTATTTAGTCAGGTGACTATTGGAGGGACTTAATCATAATTGTTAAATCACTCATATAAGCATATATAACAAATAAGAGATTAGGGTCTTAACCTTGATATTTAATGTTGTTATGGAACTATCTAATGCCTGACTTCCATTTCTCTCTACTGGAAAGCACTTTGGCTTAATGTCTGTTATTTTAAACATGATAAATGAAAGTGACTTGGCGGTTTTTTATTTATTTTCATATGTTTTCACACCTTCTTTACCAAAGAAAATTTCCACATATTAAAAAAAATTGAATTGCAAGAGAGGAATCATTGCACGGAAAACTAAGACTAAAATGTATGAAGGAGAAAATGATCTTTTCACTTTTAAAATCTTATTTATTAATCAGGTTTTTGTTCTCCTTTTGCAATACTAAAACTAAATCCTTGAAAATGAAGAAAAAGGGGTGATAGCTACAAAGAACATTACCAAACAAAGCACAACAAATCTCAGATTTACCCTTTAATTCTAGCAATGCTTCACATTGTTATGAATGCATTGATTCATAGATTTTAAACACTAGATTTTATTTATTCATTACAATAAGATGAACTTTATTTACTCCTCACAGGGGAAATGGACACGTTGCTGCAGCTGCAAAACAAGAAATAAAGTAGAATAAGGCTAAAAATATAGATATAATAAGGACTATTTACACTTTTTACATGTACAAATATGGCAAGTATACATTGTTTTTATTATTATTGCAGAATGTGCAATACTTGAGCTATGACAGATAGTTTCTTATTAAAATTGTTTAAAATGTTCAATACATTTGCTTTATTTATCTAAACATAGTCACAGCTTTGTGTTAACTCGTCTATCATATGTGCCATTCAAAAGTGTAATAATTATATTAATTTAATAACAGTTTTGGATGTTTTCTCAGGTGGTTATGCTCCATCGCAGGTTTTAAATCTATTAAACAGTGACTATAGAACCAAAGTTCGACTTTAAAAAAAATAAAAAATAAAATAAAAATCTTAAAATCAAATGCAATGTCTGTCAGAAAAAGAAAAAGAAAAATCTCAATTATATAGATATTTAGATATATAGATAAATAAGACTCATTTCAACCATGTAATAAACCAATAATCCCATTTTACTGTAGATGCCATCAATGTGCACCTTATTGTAAATACTAACTTTTTTGTTGTTGTAAATGCAATAATTAAGTGTAAATATTACAAACAACATATGTGTAATATTTACGTATCTTCATGTATATAACACAACCACACATACAACATATAACACCAGTATGATAGTTTCTTCAACCAGCACAATTAGCAGGACAGTTCCATGCTCTATGTTCCTAAATTATCACAGAATTTATTGTTGTTATTAATAATAAAATAATAATAATGATAATGAAGAAGTCTTAACTCATTATGTGGTTCATCCAGATGGTTCTAAAATAGCAGAGGAGGATAATTGAATTCATCATTGTGCCTTAAATCCATTTTCCAGAGTGTCCTTTGCACCACAGCCCTCTGATATGCACATTATTATTACTTCTGTTGTTCACATTGCATCTTGTTCTTTAGAGTAATCTATTTTATAGTATTCAGTTCTCTCTTAACACTGTGTTTTATTTTGTATAACACCACTTTGCACTGTATTGTAATTTTTTTGCAATAATCAACTGTAAATATTTCTGTAAATACTAATTTGCACGACAATTGCATGCTCCATTTGAATTATCACGGAATTTGTTATTATTATATAATAATACATACTAATATAATAATAATAATAATAATACAAAAGAAGTCTTAACTCATTATGTGGCTCATCCTGTTGGTTCTAATATAGCAGAGGAGGATAATTTAATTCATCATTGTGCCTTAATAATAATATATTATATATCTTGGAGCAGCACAATCTGCAGACAGTTCCATGCTCTGTTTGCCTCAATTATCATGGAATTTATTGTTGTTATTAATAATAACATAATAATAATAATGATAATAAGGAAGTCTTAACTCATTATGCGGTTCATCCTGTTGGTTCTATTATAGTAGAGGAGGATAATTTAATTAATCATTGTGCCTTAAATCCATTTTCCGGACTGTCTTTTTGCGTTTATCCGACAGATGTCAGGTTTGCGTTGCAGATGCTGCGCGGCTCTGATGCTGCTGCTGCTGCTGCTGCTGCTGCCGGAGCCGAGAGGCGCCGCGTTCAGACGAGAGTCGGATTCTGATGTTGAGGGGAAAAATGGCTCCTTGCCGTAGGAGGCAGAGGATACTTTTGGATTAACGGCATCGCTTCAGACATATGGATGTACACGGAGCGCCCCGCATCGACTTAATACACGCCTTGGAGGTCACCGTCAACGTTCCCACCGACGTATTTCGCTGTAAACGCCGCTCACTGGTAGGCAAACCTCGGGATCGCGACCGACGCTGGGCTCCCCGGAGCAGCTAGCTAGCTAGCACTGGCGCTAGCCGCCTAGCATGCTAGCTAGCCCAGGCAGGAATGTGCATCCAGGCTCGCTAGTTTTCAGCCGCGTTAAAGCCGCCGTTAGCGTGACAGTTTGGACACACAGTGCTACTACAGGTTTCATGTCAAAACACAGACTGGCCTCTGTGTTTGCTGGGAATTGAACGGAGGCCACACAGTTAGAGGAGCGTCACCGTTTAGCCTGACAGTTGTTGAGATGCAGCGATCAGCTGGTCGCTAGCTAACTGAGGTGAAGCTAACATCGCTGGCAGCGTCCAAAGCTGAAGGTCTGCCGCTGTGTTGTGGTTTTTCTCTGTAACAGCGGTGCCAGAAGCAGGGATTTAACTGATTACAATCGCAGGAAAAGGCGAGTACAAGTGCGGAATGTGGCGTTGGATAGATTTAGTACACACCAGTGTATTATGGGTGGCTAATCCGGGGTTGCAGGGACAGTAATGGCAGTGTTTTGTTGGTATTAAAGTCACAATGACTGGCATACATGTGCAGTGCGGTGCCTGCTGTGCAACTTGGAGTCACCTGTGTGTGGCCTCCGGACAGTGCATTGTTCCTGAATACATGGCTGCCTGCCAGGATGCCTGCTCACCACCTACCTGCCCCACAGCCTCTGCAGTCTGGGGACAAATGTGGTCAGTGGTGCAACTAATGCCATTACAAACTTGTGTCATGCTCTGGCAGTGTTTACTGTGTCCCCTTTGCAGTGTGATAAGAGACAGACACAGATCACATGATGCAAAGGGTTCCACTTCTACTTGTCACATCCTCGTTAGCAGATGAAGACACTGCTGCAGACACAATCATTATGTGCGACAAATACACACAACTGTCAGGGCTGTACAGTATTGGAAAAACTGCCATTTAGTTTTTCTGCTGTATGTATTTTGCAGTGTGAAAAAACACAAACAGATTTAGTCAGCATGGAGTGTTTGGGATGGTCCGTAGGGGGGCTCATCTGCATAGCAAATAAAAAATGTTTAAAAAAGCCAATTGAAACCTTTCTCATGTGTTGTAACGCTGACACAGGCATCCGAGCTAGTTTTTTGCTTTGGGAGACATTCAGATCAGGCTGTGCGCTCGTCATACAAAGCTTTGTGGTGCTGATTTAAATGATCCAACACATTAGTCATGATGCCAGACGCCGTGCCAGACTACCTGTTTATGGCTGGCTTCTCCTTGCCAGCGTTTTCTGTCCTCCTTCCTCGCTCACTTCGCCGTGCACATGTGGAGGCTGCATGTCAACAAACTCGGTGTCTTTTACATAAATCTGAAAACTGACGTCAGTCGTAAATTATGTTTAATCAGACTTCTCTTGTAGATTAGTCATGGAAAACGAGAAGCATGAGAGTTAGTTTCTGTATCAAGCAGCGGAAAAAAGTTGTAGCGGGATGTCTTTGAGTCGATTTACACAAAGAAAGAAAGATTATTTTATTTTATTTTATTTTAGTAGTTGACTCATTGAGGCAGGACGTTATAGATCAGTTCTAAGGCTTTATAGATCAAACTGAGTGTCCATTTAGTGCAAAGCTTCACTCAAGGTCTCGAAACTTATGGGAGGTTTCCAAGCAAGTTTGTCCAACATACTTAAATTGCTAAAAAGCAGAGCTGCAACCATCAGCTATTTTTGGTTATAAGATGTCAGAAATGGTGAAAAATGTTGACCAGTGTTTCCCGAAAGCTGAAAATGACGAGTTAAAATGTCTTGTTTTATCCACAACCCAAAGATGTTCAAATTACTGTCATGACGGAGATAAGAAACCAGAAAATAGTCACATTTAAGAAGCTGGAGTTCAAGAATTAAGACTTTATTCCTTTTAAAAAATTACTTAAACTAGTTAATGACTAATTTAATTGTCAACTTATCGATTATTCATTGCAGTTTTACTGTAAAGCACATAAGAGGAGAAAAGCACTGGAAGAACTACAACTTCCTGACAATTCAACAAAATGTTGTGGTTGTTTCTTTTGCACAGTTTGTGATAACTGTGAACATTTGCAAGTTTTATCAGCATTTTATCAACTGCCAACAAGCCAACGAGACACATTTAAGATTGAACAAAGGCGCTCGTCTGACTGTAGACAAACTAATCTGCTACAGCTGGCACCTGAGCCCCTGTACTTCCCATTTTCCTTCGTATTGTTTAGTTGTTGTGCTGTCAGTGGGACGGTGACATTTTTATACTCTCTCTACTTCGGTATGTTTGGACATTTTGGCCAATTATTGGGCACATCCATTCCATTACTTCAGAGTCAAAAGCAGAGGCTGAGTAGAAATGAATGGCAGCCACCAGCAAAATGCAGTTACAGCAGTGTCCAGGCCTGTTTACACGGTCAACCTTTTTTCAGTAACTGACCGTCATTTGAGTCTAATCTAATATAAAAACCTGATTAGTTGAAGTGGATGTCGACGTGTGGGTTGCACCTGCAGTTTGCACATTCCTGACCCAATGCAATTCCTGCCTAAACATTAGTTTATGCAGAAATTGAGTTTATTTCTGCACGGAGATCTGCATGCAATTGGACAAAAGAGTCACTGTGTGCTGCTACTGGAAGCAGGAGGCTCTTATTGTATGTAGCGTGTCTTTCGTTTACTATATTCTGTCGTTTTCACATCAACAGTTAGGTTAACAGATACGCTAATCAGCACGCGTTCATTAAGAAATACAACTGGAATAATTAGCTGTTTGGCTGCAGCGATTATCTTGAACTTCTGGCTGGATCAAAGATGCAATTTGAAGATAACGTATTGTTGCTTTAAGCCCTTAGAATAACTGAAACGTTACTGCAGTGACAGCAGCAGCAGATCTCAGCGCTCTGCCTACTTCAAAAGAACCAGAAAGCCTCCATATTCAGTGTATTAAACTTCCCAGGTGGAACTGTGGCGCATAAAACGACGTCATATTAATGGGAACCAGCAAAAGTCTAAATATTTCATGGCTGCTGTTTCCCGGTGCAGACAAACTAAACCAAACAGTGAGTTACAGCTCTGAGTTGTTTAATAAAATATGTGTTCTGTGACATGCTGTTTACAGTCGGAGGACATATTGCAGTTTACTCATGTGGTGCTGTTGTACATATAAGCAATAACACAAGTGACATATTGATATAGACTGTGGCGCTATCATTTTTTTTTCAACAAAGATGAGCTAGGGTATGCTATTTTACCTCGTAAATGTCAAGACCATTAAATATGTCTTCCTCCAGTTACTGAGGCCATTTTGCCGACTATATACATAAACCGTTGGGTTTCTTTTTGTTTGTGAATTACCGAGATTGCTACAAACCTGCCAGTAGTTTGTGTTGGTGGTGTAGTCGTAACTCTAGCCTTGAGGTCTTCCTTTCTTCTGCTTTTCTCCCCACTGTGCTCTCAATGCTAAGAGGCACTGAAACTGTGAAACTTTTATCACCGGTTCAGTCATGCAGCAGCCAGCTTCAGTCTCCAGGGCTAAAACAAAGGCTGCTGCGACTTAAAGAGCCCACATTATGCACATTTACAGGTTGAGAATTAGATTTTTGGGGCGTAAAAGAATGTGTTTGCATGCGTTAAGGTTGGAGAAGCACATTATTGTTCTCATGATTTACATTACTGCAGCACCTCTGCTTGCTCTTGGTGTGAAACATCCTGTTTTAGCGCCTGTCTCTTTAAGGTTTGCTCTGATTGGTCAGATTAAAGCAAGACATTGTAGGTTACATACCGTAACCACCTATCTGTGATTATAGGGATGAGCTCGAAGTAGAAGCAGCTTTAGTGCTGTTTCAAGGCTGCGGTGAAACTAGCTGATCAGTAAGTGTTGTGCAAATGCGTTTCATAGTGATGCAAATAAGTAACTGAAGAACAAGCCTAGGGTTAAAACGAGGCGTTTCAGGCTGGTAACAAGCACAAAGAATAACTCGCTTAGACTTTATAAGAGTTTAGACCTTTTACATACACCAGAAAAAGCTATAACACACGAAACAAAAGTGAAAAACTCAAAAAACAAAATATGGGCTCTTTAAGGACACACGACATTCATCAGCCCAACATCTACAGCTGGAGTTTAATGAGTAGTTTTGCTGTTTTTGTCGCATTCATCCAAACGCTCATAAGTTCTGCCCATCCCTACGCATGTGCTTAATACAAGAAGCAGAGTTGGGAGATCTTGCTGGGTTCTTATGAGCTGCTGTTAAAGTGTATTAAATAGGTAGAAGCGGCGGCTGAATACTGGGGAATGTACCAACGCTACTGCATTATGTTATGCAACCCTGATGACCTTTTATACATGAGATTATATCAGACTCTTTTCATGTCAGAGTATCTGATATCCAAAAGGTCAGAGTTACAACTGGAGGTTTCTTCATCGTCTACTAAGCTATCAGTGCTTTCTGATTGGCTTCAGGGACTAAGTTATCGATCAATCAATCAATCAGACTTTATTTGCGTGACACCTCTGGTTAGTCCAAAGTGTTTCACAGATGACCGATCAGTCAACAATAAAACAAACCATAAGGTAGTGAAATAAAGTTAGATTAAACAGCAAAGTGCAGTGATTTAGCAGCAGTTACTGGAGGGGACGTGGTCTGTAGAAATGCAGACAAATGTTAATGATCGGGAACAAAACTGTTTGTTGTTCAGTGTTCCACCAGAGGCCAAATAAAATAAAATAAATAAAAAAAAACAGGAAAATGCAGAAGTTCTCATAAAAGAGGATGAAACCGCAGCTTAATGCAGCAAATACTAATCGTACACAAACAACCCAAAGATTACGATCCGCGATTATATTTTAATCTTTATCTTTCCCCTCTGTGTGGTTGGATGGGAGCAGCGGTGTGTTTTCTTTCTCTGCGAGGCTCTTATTATTGATTAAATGTAGCTCGGTAGCTACATTAAAGTCTGGTGGATAATGCAGCTCAAGGCCAAAGCTAATTTCCCTCTCCGAGCA